GAAATATGAAAAGAGAAATTAGCTCAAAAATAGTCATTTTTGAGCTAATTTCTCTTGTTCAAATTGATATTTTAATTATATTTTTTTTGGATTGATCCAAATGTCATTATTTTTATAATATTCAAGTTACGGATTAAGCTAAAAAACAAAAAAATGTCAAATTCAACCAATTAACCGTCGCAATTGTGGACCTGGCTCGTTGTAATTGCGGTACTGGCCCATCACAATTGCATATCTGAACGTCGCAATTACATTTATGTGTTGAATTTTTGATCTTTAACTAGGTCTGTAATATATAGCAGAAGTAGTGACATTTGGATCAACCCGGGAGAGATATAGTTAAGAGACTAATTTAAATGAAGAAAATGATCATTTAACTCAAGGAATCAATTTAAAAAAAAACCGAACTAAACTTTCCATAATGGTCAAGTGTATGAACTATTTTTTTTTATCATTTCAAATGATTAAGGGGTCGTTTATCAAACACTTACCTGGGCCAAACTTTTACCAAGTCGCGTTACCTCACCAGATGAATATGGTAAGAACTAAGAATCTTACCCGGTAAGAGCGAGACAAAGACCATGAGTTTTACCTGGTAAGTGAGAGCGACGACTCTTACCATGGTAAGAGCTTACTGCAAAAATTGTTACATACGATATCGTTCTGATAGACTAAAATCTTACTCGATAAGTAAATAATAGTGTTATATTTCATCGGTAAACACTTACCAGGTAAATGTTTTGTAAACGGCCCCTAAATTTTTTAAAATAATTAAACAATCGAATCTCTAGAAATTGTTATCTATATTCTTTTAACTGAAGAAAGTTGTATATAAAGTATAATCAATGACGAATGTTAAAGTAACAAAACATAAATCAGTTTTATCGTTCTCAAATCCTTCATTATTCAAACCTCTACACACACAATAACATCGCTCTCCCTCATTGTTGTTTGTTTTCCGTACCGCCCGTCTCCTTCTTTAGCTCCTGCCATCGGTCTCCCTTTTTTTAAACTCGTTTAGGGTCTTGATCATTCAAAAAATGTTTAGAGTCTTGATCATTCAAAATAAGAAAGTTTAATGGTTTTTCAATAAAAAATCAGACACTTAAATCATTCAAAAAGAGAAATTTTAATGTTTTTTCATTCAATTTTTTTCAAAATAATGTAGGTAACCAATTTTTAAAAGTTTGACGGTTTATTTACTAAAAAAATTCGGGTCTTAATCATTCAAAATAAAAAGGTTTAATAGTTTTTCATTAAAAAAAAGAAATTGTTATGATTTTTCATTAAAAAAATTAAAGAACAAACCATTCAAAATAAAAAAGTTAATTGGATTTTCAAATTTCCAAAAAAAAGGAACATGTTAATGATTTAGGAGCCGTTTACTAAACGCTTACCCGGTAAGTATTTACTGGGCAACTTTCCTTACCGGATGAACATGGCAAGGGGAAAGAATCTTACCCTGTAAGATCGATGATAAGAATGAAGAGTCTTACCCGGTAAGTGAGGGTGACGATTCTTAACCGGGTAAACGGTTACCAGGTATATTGTTGCATAAGATACGTTTTGATGTACTACAATCTTACCCGGTAAAATAAATTATAGTGTTAACTCTTAACTGTAAACGTTTATCGGATAAACATTTAGGTAAACGACTCCTAGTTATCGTTTTTTACTCCACGTCTTGTTTTAAACTTTTAGTTTGAATAATATATTTTCTTTTATTAAATACAAATTTAACTTATACGATTAAATAATTTTTTTATTAAAAAAAGGACATGTAATTTATAATAGATTGAGACATGACGAAGGGTTTTTTTATCTAATGGTATATGAGTTTTTAGTTTCCTAGAAGATCAGCGGTTCAGATCTCACCTAAGATGAGAAGGGTGTATGTGTTTATTTATTCTACTTGCGAGGTTAATTAAATGAAATTATTATTTTTATTATGTAAAATTATTATTCTAATAAATATCATCAAAGGCTGTTTTTCCAACTACATTGAATGCATGCCATTGTATTAGGTATGGTGGAGAGGGAGACCAATTATTTTTTTTATTAATTAATTATTATATTTAAATCATTAAATATTTAATTTTAGACTAAATTCCAAAGACCTATTTTAAAATCTACAGGTGTTTGTGTTATCATTTTCATGAAATGGTCCAATTATTTTAGAGATATATTAAATGTATTTATATTATTAAATACATCTATATTTATTAATTTTTTAGATAAATATCTAAATTGATATTTATTTTTTACATTTTTAATGCATGATTTTGATATAAAAAATATGCATATAGTATTTCCTTTATTTTATTGGTTTTTTTGTCTTATTTGTATTTGTGACACATAATTAAAGAATATATAATATGTATTATGATAACTCTTATTTTGAGCATTATTTACACATTGTTTATGTGTGTTTTTCTTCACTTTTAGTGTGTGCTTTTCTTTTACGTGTTTGTGTTTCTCCATTTTATTTATTTATTTTCGTTTGGAGTTGTTGAAAATAAAAGTTTGTGTTTTGATGGTTGGACGAATCATTTGTAGGTTAAGTGTTGAACTGTGGAAAGTGGCACTGTGTCGCCACTGCGGTGAGTGACGTAAATTCAAGGACAAAAGTGTAAAATATTATAAACCAAAGGGACCAAAAAACAATAAATAATAAATCATAAGGAAAAATAATAATGAATTGTAAACTACACGGACGAAAATTATAATTTCTAAATTATAAAGAAAAAAATCGAAATTATTAACAAACTATAAAATCGTAATTTACTGTAGAAAATAATCACGGGAGAGAAAGGAGGTGGGAATTTGTTTTGGGCCCACACAAATATTCATAAATTCCAACCGTACCACCGTTAATCAATGTAATAATATACGCTTGGATCCCATGAGAAGTGTAAGAAGAGATCTTCATTCTTAGATCAATCTGAATTAAATGTAAACATTAATGAGGTGCACTGAGATGTAAGAGATCAATTCTCTTCTAAAATGTAATTTATGGATATACATGAAATTAAAAGTGATCGATGGTTCAGAACACCTTCTTACGGTTTTCACCATAACTTACTTTCTCACATCAACTTTCACCTAATAACATAATGGTCCTTGTATTTTTGAAAAGTTCATAATTGTTCCTTTATAAAATGTTATTGCACCAAAAGTCCCTCTATTTAGAGGTCTTCATCAACTACATAAACTGCTCGTATCGCAAAGTATAGAATTTTCGCAATATGTTCATGATTTGTATTATGATCAAAACACACTCATAGATTACAAAATCGTGTTTAAACCGCAAAGAGAGAGGAAAAAACTTGGGTGAACCTTAAGAAACTAAATAACTTATACAAATTGTTAGATTAAAGAGTCATTTACCAAATGTTTATTCGGGTAAGCGCTTACCAAGTCACGTTATCTTACTGGATGAATATGACAAATATCAAGAATCTTACGCGGTAAAAACGAATGCATGACCGAGATTCTTACCCAGTAAGTGAGAGCGACGACTCTTACCACAATTTGCGCTTACCGTATAACTTGTTGCATACGATGCAGTTTTGGTGAATGAAAATCTTACTTGATAATCAAGTGGTAATATTGAATTTTAGCAGTAATTGATTACCGGGTAAATGTTTAGGTAAACAACAATAACCCCTAAAATGATCTAATAGATTTGATTAAAAATTGTTATAACGAATTTTATTTTAGACTAAAATATCTCCTGGACAGTTGGTCGGATCTAGTATGGATTGACATGGACAGTAGTTGGAGTCGACAGCTCTCCTAGGGAACTCCCGTTTTTGTAGTTGTTGTGCAACTCCTTATTTACGTAGGAGCTTTACTTTTTAATCAAAAATCAGTGAAATATAACCAAAATTGAAGCAAAATAAATTGCATAAAAAACGATGATTTTATTCTTTTTAACTCGACATCCGTATTGAAATACTTTTTTTTATTCGTTTTCGGTTGTTTTTTCAGTTCTTTTTTTAGGTTCTCATCAAATCTCATTCATATATGATATATGTACCATAATATTATACATTACTGTATTTTTACATAAAAATAATTATTACAACCCAAAAAAATATATCAATAAGCGTAAATATTGTGATACAATTGATTACATATTTTATCAGATGTTAGGTACAAACCATACTGCATTTTGCGATGCAATTTTCTCTACTGTTTGAAATATATACGATGTAATTTGCATTTTGAAAAAAAATCTGAATCCCAATGTGCAGTTCGGTTTTACAGTTTTGACTCCAAACCACACCATAATTCACCACAAATACCCCTCCTATTATTTTATTGAACCATGCAACTTCTTCAAATTGGATAAAATCTCTTGATTTGACTCATGACTATGAATTAAATGCGACATAAAATGTTTATAAGTGAAAAGGTAAGGACTTGTTTAAAATAACAGATGAATTTACGTGTTCAAAATATCAGTATATACTGATCATTATATCATCATTAACATGTTAATCGAAAAATGATAAATAAGTGTTATTATACACGTTTTTCCTAGTCATCTATACAATAAAATGTTCAGAGTTGTGATTTTATGTTAGATATTGCCTCTAGCATGTAGCTCAGTTGACAAAGAGATGAGACGACTTTACCTAAATACAAGACATGTCTTGAGTTCGATCACAGCCCCCCGACGTTACTTCAACCCGCTAAGTGAGTCAAAAAATACCCCTCTCGCATTGGTGTTATTAAAACTGGGTTCTGTATAAAGTCAGTTAAAATTGTTGATAATCAATATTGCCGAGATTTCATATTAAATATTAAAATTATGATAAAATAGGCTTAAATTTTTGGAATAATAAATAAGGAAGAAGTTGTTGGTTCTATTGTTCATAAATTCACTCTTGTAAATCCAACCACCTTTCTTGTCTATGGGTCCCTTTTTTATTTATTGTGATCATATCCTATGCCTTTTATAAATATTTGTCCCCTTATTTCCCATTTTTGTTATAGTGACAGAATATTATTTGGCTTTTTAGAGATTCGGTTTATTATGGCCGCAACGATGTTAGCTCGAATGCTCTTGTTCGTATTAGCGCTCTCGATCGTCGAATTCTCGACATCTCATGTACTGAAAAGCTCAGTCAATTGTCTCGACTGTCTTGCTGGTTCTGATTTAGCAGGTTTTGTTTCTTGATTTGAAAATGCTTGTATAACCTGTATCATGTGCTTTTAATCTTATATACAGTTTTTGATTTCTAATCAGTTGTTTTTAAGTAACGGGTTTGTATATGGGCTCGAGCCTTCACATTATCACGAACGGAAATATTTTTTTTTGTTATTTAATTTATGTGCATTTTAAAATAGTTATGGGTCTTGAAGCAAATACTTTTTTGACTCACATCTTACGCTCTTGGACCTTAGATTCGGGTGTAATATGTCGAGTTTATCTGGTTTGCTAAAATGTTAGATTTTTGAATTTTCACAACCACTGACTGAAATTTCACATGCTTAATGTACTATTTTTTATGCATAATGTACAAGTCATTTAAGCACGCTCTCACCTCCCATAGGCATCAAGATACTAGTGAAGTGCAAGCAAGTGAAAAACTTAGCCATGGCTACAACCAACGAGCATGGTGCCTTTGAGACACAACTACCCTCAAGCAATTGCGAAGCCAAGATCATGGGTGGCCCAAAGCAACTCTACATTTCAAGAAATACCATGGTCACAAGCATAACAGATGTCCGTGAAACCGACTCTTACACCACATCTCGACCCTTGAGTTTCTATACGTCATGCCCTTTGTCACAAACCAATGATGGGAAATGTGGGGCAACGAATGATTCGACCGGAAGGAATGTCAGGTCGTCGAAGACCGTTGATTTGCCACTGCCAAGAGAATGGGGATTAGCACCGTCTAGCTATTATGTTCCGTTCGTCCCTATCATTGGTATTCCGTGATTAGATCATGGTTTCTGCAACTGATGTTTTATTTTACATCAAAACTGTACTTTGTCTCTTCTAAAAAAATCTTGAAGTTTAAATTTATGTTATGTGAAGTGAGAAACCGAGTGATATGTATGTTAAATTTCTTAGATTTATGTAATCTAGATGTATAATATGTTTAATTTTGTTGGTTCTTTGAGATTTATATATTATCTATATGTTACATCTGCCTTCTAATTGTTGGATATATATATACTATATTATAAAGCATTTGACAAAAACTCTTAAAAATCACTTTTTATGCGTAAGATACTGTTTATTAATGCATATTACTTAAAATTCAAGATTGCAAGTAGATTGTGCGCAAGTACAACTTATTAAAACTCCATATATGAATTTGTGTAACTAACTACAGATAAACATAATCAAATACAGGATAAACATCTCATTTTAAATGTAAAAAATCTAAATATAATTAGGATAATAATTGAGTTATAACAGAATACTTAATTATTATTTTTATAAAATGTTATATCATTAATCCAAAAAATAAATTATTTCGTTATTAAACTTAAATTAAATTATAATAAAAAAATTAAAAAACGTTGATATATTTTTTTTCAAATTTTTATGATATTTTCAAATTTATATTTTATTCAAAAATGAAATCATTATTTTGCTTTCTTAAAAAACATAAAACCGTATTATAACATCGACAAAGACAAATAATAATATAGAACATTAAAATCGGGATGTGTCTCGCTACATTGTGCGAGTACTCTTCTAGTATGTATATATATATATATAGTTTAATTTTAGGTTCTGAAGAATAAATTTCGTTAGTTCTTGTTGTGAAAAGTTATTCGATAAATAAATGATTCTTGTTAAAAGCAACCGAGTGATAAATATTGATAAAGACTATTGAATGTATCCAAAATTAATAGCCATAAAAACACAGTATCTACCTTACGTTATGAAATTGTACTGGCTTGATTGTCGATATAGCTTTGTTTCCAGGGCACATTGTGAGTCAGTAATCAATGCCGAGTCCTCAATTTTCATGTAGAAAATACTCTCATTGAATAAGATGGTTGCAACAAAATTTTGACACCATTAATAAGATTTCGTGACCACACATGTATTACGATTGTCGTTTGGTCGGTGTCACAAAAGCTGCTTTTCATGATGTTTTTTATTTATTACTAAATTTGATGTTAGGAAAGATGTTTTGTATAAAGCTTTTTATAGAAACAAACTTACAAACTTATAATATACTTTTTTTTATCGACAAATAGACATTTTACCTTTTAGTTTTTTTTTAAACGATAAAGATGATAAATTTACATTAACCATGCGTAGGTTGTGGAATAATACATTTAAGTCCCTCATGTTATATAAACTTCCATTTCAGTCCCTGACCTAAAATGTGATAATAGTTTGGGAGTTCATTACTAAGGATGATGATTTGCCCCGGTCCGGTGGGGAACCCGGCTCACCCGACTCAAAATGAGGATGGGGATTCCCCCTAAAACGGGTCTCGCTCGGGGCTTGGGATTCTCAGTAAACTCGAACCGGGGTTGAGGCTAGGTATTGTACCCCCCGCCCCGCCCCATATCCAGTATAAATATTTATTTAATAAGTATTTGGGCTTTGAAAATTCTGATAGTGAGCCTCTGTTGCTGTTGGACTTCAAGAGTATTTATATTAGGAATTATGGGACTGGACCGGTTCGGGGAGCGGGTCTTGAGTCGGGAAACGGGGACCGATGTTTGACTAGGTTTTGACCGGGAACAAGATATTAATCTTCGTACCAGTAGGAGACCGGGGCAAGGATCGGAGGCTGTTACTAAAAACCGAGGCGTCAGGAATTACAAAACCCGCCCATCTCCGCTCCGTTACTATGCCTATTTGTATTAAGGCCAAGGAAAAAAAGTTATCAAATCAATCTAAAATAGGAGAACATTATTTAACTTATTTCAGTTAATTTAAATATTTTTATTTTTTATAAACATAAAAATAACGAAAATATAAACTAATTAAATAGATGACATGTCTTAAGATAATTGGTGAAAGGGAAAAAAGAAAAACAAATATATATATATATATATATATATATATATATATATATATATTTACGAGTTCATTCTATTGAATTTGCAGTGACAATTTTAACTCATCAACTTTAAAACACATTGATTTAGATTATAATTTATTTTTTTAATATAATAAAAGAAAAAAAACAGCCAAGTGTTGAAATCACCCAAAATTATTTGCTTACAACATTTTAAACTGTTTTATTAAAAAAATACATTTATATTTTAATATTATATTTTTTGTAATTATAATGAATACATTAATTACTTAAAAATTCATAGAAAATGGTCGAGAATAGGTTAACCGGTCATGCCGACATACTAAAGATACCTCATTATGTCCGAACCTGGTGTAACTTGTCACCCAAACCGTTTGGCTCATTCAATTTAACTTGGATTTGTAGGTTAAATGATTATAGATACTAAAATATAAGTTTATGTTGTTTTTGTTAATGAATTCCGCGAAATGCACTTGACTCCAATATCCAATGAAGTTGATTTAATCGGTCCAACCCTATCTCACATATGCATGTCGAACCGTCTAAGGGGCAAAAACCGTATTTATAATTTAGAAATATCAATTGGAGCAGACCCAAGAGACTTAACTAGATATCATCGGTCCCTTTAGACCAAGTTAGACGGTTTTAGTCATTTTCAAACCAGATTTTTTAGTCAGACCAGATAAAGACCGGTGATAAATTCCCGCTTTGTCCACACCAGTTTTTTTTTTTTTTGAATCAATCTCATTATTTTTTTCGTACAATGTTTTAACTAGGTCAGACTTTGATGTGGGCCTTGGCGTGCAGGACCGAACCTTCTTGTTCCTGGAGGCCTATGATCCGGCTAAAACGGACATACAACTTAACAGTCATAACTTTTGCTACGAGACTCCGATTTAGGCCATGACCAGTCGATTCGAAGCTTGAAACGAGAAGCACGCCTACATGATTTTTTAGTCCTAAAAACAATACTTTTTGGACACTTTTGTGTTTTTGCTACTACTTACATTTTCCGTTTGGGTTTTTTGTTTTAGCCTTCATAGAATCAATAGGTTTAATCTTCGTTTTCGTTATTATACATTGTATCAGACTTTTTTTCCCACATCAATCCAAACCGACTTGTGTTCAACTGCAAACCCGAGTCGTAACATTGATCATCGTACCAAACCAACCTTAGCATTGTCACATAATTTCTGCTTTATGTAGAAATTAACATGGCATTAGGTTTGTGGATCAAATTTAATTGATATCAAATGTACACTTTCATTCTAGTTGAAGTGGAGCTAGTTGGCAATGGCAACAACTCCTCTCCTAATCATTCTTTAACCTACGACTAAAAGCACTTCACTTACCCATATATACATATATACATATATATATATATATATATATACACATAATATATATATATACATGTAGGTATATATGTGTATATATATACCCCAAAACCCTCATACTATTTCATACAAGTCTTTCACATATCTTCTGGGAATTTGAAAAGCATTACTCAACAAATTTTGCAAATATCCTTAGTCAATTAACAGCCTTTCTATGGATTCAAGTCGTTCGGCTAAAGAAAGCGGCGATATTGCCATTCCGGTGAGGGAGATCAAGTCTTTAAAGTCAGGGAAGGGTGGACCTCCGGTGCCAACCACTGTGAGACTCGGCGATCAGCCACCACCAGCTGCCGGCTGGAAGAGAGGTGTTGGCATTATTGATCTCGTTCTGAGAATATTTGCCATTGCTGCTACTCTAGGTGCTGCTGCTGTTATGGGTACCACCAGCCAAAACCTCCCTTTCTTCACTCGGTTCTTCCAGTTCCAAGCCAGCTACGACGATTTCCCTACGTTCACGTAAGTCCATGATTAAAAACGATACCTGCTATTGTAAAATCGGTTTTATAAGACGTTAAATTTGTCTAAATGTCCTGCTAAATGTAGTACATGAAGTTGCCAGTAGACTTTTTGGCGTTTTAATAAATTTTTGTACGATATTTTTTGAATAAAACGTTCGTTAATTAAAAATTCTTATAAAAAACGTGTTCAAAAGTATTTTATAAAAATATTGATATTAAACCTTATTTCAAAATTTTCTTAAAAGGATTTGGTAGGTGTCTAATCAACTTGTTGTAACATTTTTATATTCAGAACATAAGTCTTATAAAGCAATCTATTAATATATTATTTCGTATTTGATGTTCTATAAAACCGAATTTTTTGTAGTGACCGTGTTTTTTTAAGGCCAAGCATCTTAATGAATGATCTTGTGGACATGATATTCAGGTTTTTCTTGGCGGGAAATGCGATAACATGTGCATATCTCGTACTCTCCGTGCCGTTCTCGATTGTGTGTATCGTTCGCCCACATATCGTAGGAGCTAGGATGTTGCTCTTTCTTTTCGACACGGTATGCCTACCTACGTGATCTTTTAATACAAATATTTTGGTTCGATCACACACTTAGGGGTGTTTTGGTTGATTTTCTATTAAGTCTTTTATGGATAAAAATGTCTTTCTGAATTAATCTATCTGTATAGATTGAGAAATTTTTTTATAAATATAAGAAGCATGCTTTTTAATTGGGAGAGGTAGCTTTGGAAAAATTTGGTTTTCTGCAAAACTTAATGAATAAACTACTTTCTATATAATTAAGCCACTACTAAACAATCATGTATAACTGACCAAATATGTTGTGTGTCCTATTAAACTCATTAAACTGCTAACAAGCATTGCCTTAATTAAACATGTTCGAGTCCTTACACCTAAACCATTTATATATATAGGATTCAGTAACAAGTTGGTTCGAATTTCCTTTAAATAAGGAGGTTTAATCTTACGATTTGTTTTCCAGCTAGCGTTGGCTTTGACCATGGCAGCTGCATCGGCGGCGGCTGCCATCGTCTATTTGGCACACAACGGAAACCCCAACACCAATTGGCCGGCGCTTTGCCAGCAGTTTAACGAGTTCTGCCCACGTGTCAGTGGCGCGGTGGTGGGTTCCTTTCTTGCGGCGCTCATTTTGGTGGTTTTGGTCGTGCTGTCTGCCGCCGCTCTACGGAGGAACTGATCACAAATTGGGCCATCACTTCACACAAAAATTGTCTTTTTATTTTATTTTCTGTGATTGTGTTTGAGAGTTGAAACTGTGGGTGGGTGTCCTTGTTGGTCTTTGGGGGTGGTACAGGGGTAATTATGTCATTTGAGGTGGGTTACATTGTAATTTTCTGTTTATTCTATTGATGATCAAAATTACAATGTTTGATTTGACGTATATGATATGAATGTTTCTGATCGATACGAAGTCGGTTATTCGCGTTTTGCACAAACGAGTGTTTTAATATGTATATGTGATTACCAACCGGAACACCGACATTGCAAAAAGGTTAGGTTGCCTGTGGAGAATATCGACAAGGTCTAGGTAACGCCCATCGGAGTCAAATTATAAGGAGAACTGATTATACATGTCAGCAGTTGTGGACCCTAAATTTTTACTGAGCGGTTGTACCTTTAAATCGGATCAAAGGTCCATAAAGTCACTTGATGTATTTCTAGCTGAATTCCACCGTTTAGATGATTTCCTTTTGAAGTTTTTTTTGGTTGATCTATGTTGACTTCTTCGAGTTTTTAGTTGATTGCGATTGAATTTTTTAGTTTTTTTTGGTTGATCTATGTTGACTTCTTCGGGTTTTTAGTTAATTGCGATTGAATTTTTTAGTTTTTTTTGGTTGATGTGTAACACTCTCAATAAAATAAAAGGGTTAGGCTTAACGCCTAGTGAGTTCGAGCATTTTTCATCATAATTATAAAAAGATAAACCAAAAAGACTGTTGGTTTAAATCAAAATTTCGCAATTAAAATATTTTTATCGTAAAGCAACATCTTTACAAATTAAAACCTACAATTTTCTTGATGAAAACTCATTAATTAAAATACTCAATTATATGCAACCAGAACTCAATACTCACACGACCAAGAATGAAGCTATAAAACGTTGGAACGGAAAACGTAGTTTTGAATCAAGTTATTCATAAAATTAGTCGTAAAATATCCGAAGAGACCCAATTTACGATTTGTTGTGACGGAACACATAAGTAAGTCACAAATCAATGTTATATAAGCATCACCTTTGGATAATCAAATTAGCAAGTTCAACTTCTTGAGTCTTTCGCTTGTGGAGCCACCAAGTTCAACTCCTCGAGCCTTTACCTTGAGATCTCCATTATCCGATTTAAGCTAATTCACTTAGAAATTACACTATATGATCATTAATTGATACCCGACTTCAAGAGTCCACACCTTATCGCGTATTAAGACCGAGTGCTTAATTCACTTAGAAATTACACTATATGATTATTGGCCAATGTCCAACTTCAAGAGTCCATACCTTATCGCTTATTAAGAACCATTGCCTATATGAGACGAAGTTTACCATAACATTCCTCTAATTTGGAACCAATATGGAATTGAGTGATTTTCCTTCTTCGACTCTTACTATCCAAACCTGACAGCGGACAACTAAGACATGTCTGTGAAAATACGAACTATCTGCACCTGGACAGAAAGACCCTATGAAACTATTCTAATGGTGAAACACATATAAGACTTGGGATGTCATCTTATCAAAGATCTGGTTGTCATACTGTGCCAGTATCACTATTGCATGGCACAATCATCGAGTCCACCAAACACTCGGTATCACCGGTGCTACCGTGACAAGTGTCACAACCACATGTCACAAAAGTCAAGGTTACTATACTCTTAGTACCAAGGGTGCTATTGTGACAAATGTCTCAACCACATGACACACAATGTCGGGACGACCATACTCTTAGTACCATCATTGCTATTGTTACATATATCACTATCTCAATGGCACTATAGTCAAACTTCATAATCAGCTTTTCTTTACTGGATCACTCTGTTCAACTGGGACAAAAATCAAGATGCTACATAATGTTTCTTGTATTCTCTAATATCTAGGAGCACCGCTCAAACTTTAGTGGTTCACCTTTCATATCCTCAAGAAAATTTGTTTGTGAAATTCAGTTGATCGGGTGCATGAGACCTCACTCGGGCATGAATTGGTCCGCCCCTGCATGCCATGATAGGATTTATGAGATCTGATCAAGATGTCAAATGTTCTAATAAATCAATTACACATTTTCATTGCATGGTGTTCTACATATGTTATGCATGTGAATCTAAAATATGTGACAAGAAACTTACAGAGCTATTTAAATAACTAGTTGTATATATCTTAGCAGCAAAAGTTCGATCGTAAACAAGGGAAAGAGCAAGGTCTATATATATTAGACTCACTATCTTTATTTATGATGTTTTGGATATTTTGGTATCGGACAAACTAGAATTATTTGAGTATTTTTATGTATTTATATACTGAATTGTAAATTATTTTATATTAATTTGGTTGAATATTATAGGTTGATATTTAAGGATGGCAATAAGAAGTTATGTCCAAATGTATGGTTTGTAATAGAGACGTATAAGTCCCAACTCTTTTTGGGCCCGAGATCGAGCCTTCAAACCCCGTTTTTCGATCAGTAAAACAAACTCAAGCTCGGGCCGAAATGAACTTGGGGTTGAAAGAGAGGCTGAGCGGATTTTTTGATCATATAAACTTGAGTCCTATAAAACACTTTATTAAAACATTTAAATATTTTAAACGTCCTATAAACTTAATTTATTACAGGGTTTGCATACTTTTATTTTATTGTATAATAAAATTTTAAGGATTTTGATCTAAAAAAATATATTTTCATTAAAACTTTAATTTGTGTGTAAAGTTAAAACTTTTTTATTTATTTTGTTCTGTATAATGCAATAACTTAATTAAAGTTATTTATAAACTAAGGACTTGTTTATTAATAGTTTAATAGGACTCACAATTTATTCAATCAACTATACATGATTTTTTTGGTAGTGCTTAACATTATAAAAAATAACTTATTTATATAAAAAAATCAAGCTTTTTTTCTAAACATATTCATCCTAATTAAAAAAACCACCTATCCATTTATAAAAATCTTAACTTTCTCTCTTTATACAAATAAATTAATCCATATAAACAACTTTATTTATATAAAACTAAAAAAAAGTACAAACAAGGAAACACCAAGAAAAGTAGCATACACGACTTAAATTCCAAGTTTCCAAACACAGGTTTACCGGATTCATGTTTCCTGCTTCGCTGGTCAATCTCTGATCGTATATACTTCATCTCTTTGGTGGGAATTCGCTAATTTTTCAGATTCCGGTCAATATCTACTGATATCCGGTAGATATGGGGGTGGTGAAGGCGGCTATCGGTGATGGGGTGTTGACTTTTATGTGGGTATTCTGTGCTTCTACTCTTGGTGCTGCTACTTCCGTCATCGCCACGGCCATCGGAATCCAAGGAATGGCGTCTCTTTTGATTACGATCTTCCTCATATTCATCCTCTTGTTCATCTTCGGTATTATCGGCCATGCTTTAGGTGGTGCTAGCTTCAATCCCGCCGGCACTGCTGCGTTCTATGCTGCTGGTCTCGGCGGTGATACCCTCATCTCCGCTGCCGTGCGTTTTCCTGCTCAGGTGATTGTTGAATCTGTGTTTCTTTTAGCTTATTGGGGGTAATTGTTGTTTAATTAAATTAGGGTTTTGAATTAAAATCCTGGAATTGCTATTGCTACTGTTATTCCCAAAACTAGGGCTAGTTTAGGGTTTTGATCATAGGCGAAGGTTAAGAAGAGATATAAACCCTTGATCACTTTTAACAATTGCGCTTTAGAAGGAAATTGATCTCAGTGCACCTTATTGTTGTTGACATTCAACTAGGATTGATCGAAAGGTGAAGACCTATTCTTTTGCTTCTCACCATCACTTCCCCTTCGCAACCATAATTTAGGGGTTGCTTGTTTACCTCTTAATAATTCCATTATACCCATAGATATTTAATGATTCATCATCAGAAAATCCAATATCTGAGAACACATGTGGTATAACTTGTAAGGGACCGTTTACTAAGCGCTTACACGGCCTAGTCATTTACCTTACCGGATAAATATGGCAAGGGCCGAGAATCTTATCCAGTAAGTTAAGGAGATGACTCTTACCAACAATAGATTTTGATCGACGAGAATCTTAAAGGTAAAGGAGGGTGGTGACTCTTTACCTTTGTAAGCTTTTGGTAAACGGTCCTTTAAAAGGTCAAAGAGCATCTCTTTCCTTGGCTATTCTATTCCCAAGAAACAAGCTTTGACTTCCCAAGTCAAGATTGGAGATACTCCCACATCTCCAAAATAAGTGTCCACATTTCTTTTTAAGTTTGTTTCCAATTCTACCCTTTTTATTATTAAGGCTAAAATTGTCATTCAGTTGATTAAAAACTGTAATAATTATTTATGTTATAAATCTTTAAGTTCCTGAAAAACTGGTTTCTAACAGGCATTGGGTGCCGTTGGTGGTGCCTTGGCGATTGTCGAATTGATGCCACCAAAATACAAACACATGCTCGGTGGACCTTCTTTGAAAGTCGACTTGCATACGGGCGCTATTGCTGAAGGGTTGTTAACTTTCGTGATGAACTTTCTCGTCCTTTGCATTATCCTCAAGGGTCCCAAAAGTCCGTTAATGAAAAATTGGATGCTTTCAATGTCGATTGTGACTTTGATTATTGCTGGTTCTGGGTATACCGGCCCTTCAATGAATCCTGCCAACGTAAGTTTATTAATCTAATCCACCTACGATTCTTTTAGTATTTGATGCTAGACAGGACCAGACATAACATGATTGACGTCCCGAAGTGAGGTGGGTGGGTGAAAGAATTGTGGAAGGTTTTAGAGTTTTAATTTGACAGGGGTGGTTTAGTAACTTACCAAACTTGTTCCATCTCCTTGGTTTTTGGTGGGACATTAAAAAGATGCATTTTTGTCTCATTTGGGGGGTTGTTCGGTTGGATTTCCATGATGTCCAGTAGGAATAAAGGTATCATGTTGGGTTGAGAATGTTTTTGTTTGGGAGGGTTTTTTTCATAGATGGAAGGAGCGTGTTTTTTAATTGTGAGGGGTAGGTGCCGGAAAACCTTGGCTTTCTGCATAAAGCTTCTCCCTAGAAACTTACTGAATAAGCCACTTTCTATGATGCGACTACCAAATAGTCATATATAGCTGAAAGTTGTGAGTCTCATTAAGCTGCTAAGAGATGGACCCTGTCCAGTTCTAGTCTAATTGTCGCACGAAACGTGGAACAAGTTTTTGTCCTGTCCTGGCTTGTCTTGACTTGTCCTAGGACATACCAACCGCACCCTAAATCTGATTGTTCGATGCTTTAGTACAACAATAACATCTTGCTTATGGTGTTTATTTCATCTTTTTTCGACATAAAACAAAAATAACGAGCAATGCAATGTGTAGGCGTTTGGTTGGGCATACGTAAATAATCAACACAATACATGGGAGCAGTTTTACGTTTACTGGATTTGCCCATTCATGGGCGCGATATTGGCTGCTTGGGTTTTCCGACTCTTCTTTCCACTACCTTCAAAGCAGAAGACGGCCTGAAAACGAGCCGGAAAATTAATTCCGGCCGGGTTTCTTCTCGGTAGCAAATTATTGTTTCGCAATTAGATTTCCTTTGATGCGAATCATGTAGATATGCTGATATCCTTCATATTTAAGCTTACCATGCTATTATGAATTTTATTGTTATCTGTTCAAGTGTCATTATTCAGACCTTGCTTCATTTTTCTTCAATTTTGTTTGTGATTGGTACAAAGATTCTACCGTCGTAGGTTCGAGTCTGGCAGCCGCAGTGTCGGTCTAGTCGCAATTCCTTTGATTTTTGGGCTTCTTATGACCATTGGGCTCTTTTGCTAGCCATCTAGCAGGCTTCTTATGGACATTGGGCTCTTATGCCAACCATCTGGTGGTACCGTGTAGGCGTGTACCTACTTTGCCCATATGATGCCCCTGTAGCGACTTTAAGACGACACCAAGACCCGTGCGTCGAAAATTAGAAGATTTGTCGACATACATTGTCCAAAGACTTTCGTTTTACCGCCACTATATGAATATCTTTAGTGGCTACTTTTCCCGTTCAGGGCTGAAATTGACGACAAAATCACCTAAGATTTGAGGTGAACATTTCAATGCAGTTCTCGACTCGTATCTACTGAGATAGATCCTTCATTTTGCTAGATGTCCAGTGAGTTCGGGGTTTCTTAAGACTGTCTTTAGAGAATAATTAGTGACGACATGGATTTTAGGGATCGTTTATCAAACGCTTACCGGCAAGAGTCATCCTTCTCATTTACCTTGTGAGGTAGCATTACCGACCATCAAAATGTATTGATGTTAAGCGTTTATAACCAACCAAGTGTTTACTGTGTAAGAGTCATTACCCTCACTTATCAGATAAAACTCTTTATCCTTGTCTTCGCTCTTACTCGATAAGATTCTTGGTCATTGTTGTGTTTACCTGGTAAAATAATTGAATCAGTAAGGGTTTACTAAGGTAAGTGTTTAGCATGCTACACTTTAATCAATCTTAATATCTTAATCACGGTCATTAGTATTGGGTTCGAATCTAGGTGCTGTGAAAGCCCTTGTGGCCATGGAGATTCAATTGTGATGACTTCAGGACATTAGTGGTCATCCGATGTATTAGTCGGTGAGCGTAAACTGACCCGAAAACCAACGGTTGTCCAAAAAAAATATGGATAGTTTTTTCTTTCCGATTAGTTTTCTCTTTGTATTAAATAACATTTTGAAGATTTAATTGGAGTAAGAAAAATAATAATACTTGAAAATGTTGATTTTCTTTTGAATTAAATACATTTTTACAAATTTTCTCGTCACATACATCAAAATCAATACTTATTATTTACATTTTCAATGTATAATTTGATTTGATTCTAACATAAAATAGGAGCATGTAGCATCACACAAAAAAGAAAACTCATTGGGATAGTAAAATTGACCATGATGCCCTTGAAGGATAAAGCTTTTTAAGGCATCTCTAATGTAAGGTTCTTATAAAAAAAAAAAAAAAAGGTGTAGGTTCTTAAAAGAACTACAGTTAGAGAGTTCTATAAGAACCTCACATCTTTTTTGAAAGGACGTTCTAGGCTATGTCTAGACTAATCTCGGCAAACCGTGATTGCAAAAAAATCAGCCTTGACTAATTCAATGACCACAATTATTGTGTACCCCTGGAATCGAACCTTGGCTAGATTTTTCTTACCTTGAACTTGGTCTGAAGTGATTTTTTGTTAGTTTTTTTATTACATCTTATTGGCTTTATAATTATTATTGATGTTAAAAAAAAATACATGGAACCCACTAGATGGGTTCTAATCAGAACTATCATTGTGAAGTTTTATGTCGGTGAGATGGAAATAATATGTCAAACAAAAGTACAAAAAATGGGTTCTTATAAGAACTTCCATCAGATTTGCTTTAACAAGAACATTTTCAACAGATTCTTTAAAATAAATAGAGAAAATGAGTTTTTTTTTTTAATTTATGGCACTAATTCTCTAAGCCACTTGTTCATCTTTTCTTTTTCATGAATGACGATAATGCCCTTGACGGTTAGGCATGCTCTATCATCACGTGTGATGCGGTTATGCTTAAACATGCACTGCATATTCGCTAACAACTCTAACAAAATCTCGCGATCGGCAGAGAAATTCAACGCCATTGCTATTCTCCGACAAATGTTTGATTTCATTTTATCCTAAATTCATCAATTTCATTTTCATCGTTTTAATTGCATCATCATTTCTGTTCAATCGGTTGGACACTTGATCTGAGACTCTATACGTTGATCGATTGCTTTGTTTGGTATCAAGTGTGTATACAAGAATGGCAGTACTTTGATCTTCTCCAATGAATATTGTTTGATTTCATAAGATCGTTGATTCGGTTTCATTCTAGTTTCCAGTGAATTAATCATATGGTCAGTACGTTGATCTGAGAGTATTGCATCAATTGATCCATATTTTGATTTACAGAAGCGTGTACAACAGCAACGCTGGATTTGATCTTATCCGATAAGTGTTTGATTTCATACGATTGTAAAAAATTTAATTCTCGTTTTACATTATAGTTACAGGTTCTTTGAATCGGTTGGTTGATTGATCTGAGAGAGTGTATTGATTTATCGATTGATTTGATTCATATATACAAGTGCGTATACTTCATTTTGGAAGAGCTGTAGCTTTTGGAGCTTTTACAGGAGATTTCTCATCAATCCATGAAGCCTCCTGCCACCAACGTAAACAGTTGGATCTGGTACTGAACACCGTCGGTCACTGAGCTCCTTGAAAGTATTAGTTTTCCTCTCCTGATCAAATCGACAAAATGCTGAAACGCTCTCGTCAACAGCAGTTTAATGAGTCCCTCTCTGACCTACTCTATCGCTACCGGGGGGTTATTTTGGTTATTTCGGTGCCTCTTCTCCTCATCTGCTTCGTTCTGCTGCTGATGCCTTCTGCGGGTTCTCAGTCTGATGCTGTTTTTCCTTCGAACCGAAAGTTTTTGCCGAATTATGGGGGCACCGATCCTTCCTTGAATAGCTATGCTGTGATTTTTGATGCTGGGAGTTCTGGGACTAGAGTTCACGTTTACTGTTTCGATCAGAATTTGGATCTCGTGCACATTGGTAAGGAGCTTGAGATTTTTGTTCAGGTAACTTTCAGGAGCTGATTTTTATTGAGTTCTTTTTTTGTTGGCCTGTTAGTTCTTTGATATAGACCGTCTCAAAGTTATATTTTGTGTTAGCACTATTGAACTCTAGTTCTGATTGGCCTATTTTGACGATATTAAACATACATTAGTTTATGAACATATGGCAGCACTGTAGGAAAAATGAATGGACGGAGAAAGAGGAGGTAAAAGTAACCAGAAATTGGTGGTCAAAGTAACCAGAAATTTGGTTTGATTGAGTGGTTAGAATGCTTAAAGGCTTTGTATGATATAGTGTAGAATGAAATATGGTTTTTTGGTAACCGTTTTGAATGACAGTCTAAATGACAACAAATTACCAACTTAATCCTCTGTATCATTTAGTTTTGAATGAAATATAGTTGTTTGGTGCTTCAGATTTCATATTAATATGAACGAGTAATATAGTTGTTTGGTGCTTCAGATATGAAATATATCTGAATAAACCAATGATACTTCCGTTTATTGCAGTTAAAACCAGGTTTGAGTAGATATGCAAATGATCCTAAAGGTGCTTCAGATTCTCTTCTCCCTCTTATAGAAAAAGCAGAAAATGCTGTTCCACAAGATATGCGTCAAAATACACCGGTCAAACTTGGGGTTGGTGATTTGTAGGACTTAAGTCTACTTCTGTAGTTTGTTTGAGTTGTATGCTTATATACACAATAGCTGATATGTATTTCTCTATGCAGGCAACTGCAGGTCTCAGACAATTGGGATTTGATGAATCGGAGAAAATTCTGCGAGCTGTATACATCACTTTGCTCCAACTTTTTTTTTAAATCCAGAGTTCCTTGTTTTTTTTTTATCTGTAAAAAACATTGAATTTTGAAAATTGTCTAGGTGAAGGATGTGTTCAAGAGGAGCAGCTTCAAGTCCAATGATCATTGGGTGAATGTTCTGGATGGTACTCAGGAAGCTGCTTATCAATGGGTAAGCCACATAGTTATTACGGTTTCAAAAATCCATGTGTGGTCTTAGCTTAAGCTATGAACCCATTTCCTGTCCGTTCATGCATCCAACAAATGTGAAGATAATTAAAAATTGTTGGTGGTATTAGACACCAATGCTGCTTCGAGTGAGATTTACTGTGTCAGTTTGGTTTGATTTACTAGACACTGATTACTAATCGAATTTTTTGTTCGTTTATGGGAATCTGGACGGTCATAAGCTGTAATCTTGATGGTTATTAAGATGTCCTTTATGCTTGCAAAGTTGACTATGGGAATAGTTTTTTATGTGTATGTGAAGTCTTTTCCTAAGTAAATGTTTAAGTCCTTTCCCTAAGGTTAATTTGAATCTCCATCTGATATTCTGATTTCAGTTATCAATACACACAATTTTGCATGTTCTTGTTGAAACACGTTGGATATATATTTACAGGTGAGCATAAATTATCTTTTAAAAACATTAGGCAAGAAATACTCGGACACTGTTGGGGTTGTTGATCTGGGTGGTGGATCAGTACAAATGGCATACGCCATCTCAGAGGAAGACGCTGCAAAGGCTCCGAAACCATCAACTGGATTAGATCCGTATGTGAAGGAAATGCTTCTCATGGGAACAAAATATTACCTTTATGTTCACAGGTTTTCTCTCTTATAGTTTGAAGACTTTATTTATTTTCTCAGGAGATGGCATGTAGCATGTAGGGAAAAAAGAATCAATGAGAAGGATTCACACCCTCAAGCATTAGGTACTCCTTGAATTGACACCCACATTATAGGTGTTGCTATGAGCACACTTATTTACATAAAAATCAATTCAAATCATATATTGAAAATGTAAATAGGAAGTCTTGATGTTCATATGAGTGAAGAAAGTGCATTTAGCAAGTAAATGGGTGTGCGTTTGGAGCTTCTCCAATGAACGTTCTTATAAAAACCTCATTTTTGCATTTTTTGTTGCCAACTTATCAAATTAAGAACTCTTTTAAAAGTCCATAATGATGGTAAGAACCTCCTTTCTATGGGTCCCGTTGATTCTTTCATCATCAATAATTATTATATTAATATATATTAATTATAAAGTCAAAAAAATAAAATAAAAAATAACAAAAATATCATTTCTCACAAACTTCATGGTAAGGACCAATGCTCTTGTTTAAGCATCCAGAGGGCACGAGTTTCTTACAAGAACCTCTCCACAATGGTAGTTTTTACAAACTTACATTGGAGATGCTCTTAAAATCACCCGAACAGTAAATACCATGCCGTTTTTATGCGTTAGTTTCATGTATGTATATGCAATTGTGCAATTACGGTGTTCTTTATAGATGGATTACCTAATTTCCTTTTTTGTTGGTGATATTTGTATCATCTATCAGCTACTTGCACTATGGATTATTAGCTGCTCGAGCAGAGATTTTAGGGACTTCTAAAGATTCTCATAATCCATGTGTTATGGCTGGCTACCAAGGTATTCTCAAGTTGGGTTTTTGCATTATCTTACTTTGCTTTTGTATATACCAACTATTGGTTGAGGGTTTAAGTGTCTAATTGTAAGCAGCTTAATGAACTTGGATTATTTGGTACCGGCTTAATGATATAGAAAGTATTTTGTTAAGTGAGCCAAGTTTTTTCAAACCTAAAATCCTTCCCAAACCAAACACTTCTCAATTAATACGGATATATTAATCCACACATATAACTTTATTAATTCAGGACTTGATGCAAAACCAATCATACAGCCCTTAAAACATTAAAGATGGTATGCCGTATGCCTCAACTTTATTCTTGTTTCTATTTTTTACTGCAATTACAAAATGTAAGTAACTTCCGACAAGAAGTTGAGGAAAATAAAAAAATTTAATTAAAGAGTTTGTAAGCCCTTCCGCACTGCAATTTATGTTTACAGGGATTTACTCGTACGGAAAAACTGATTATAAAGTTTCAGCCCCTCCTTCTGGTTCAAGCATGAACAAGTGTAGGGAAGAAGTAGTGAAGGCTCTGAAAGTGAATGAATCAAATTGCAACTACAGGAAATGCAGTTTTGGTGGGGTATGGAATGGTGGTGGTGGCGATGGACAGAAGAAGTTGTATGTGGCTTCATATTTCTTTGATAGGGCTGCCGAGGTTAGTATTAATTCAAAGTTAATTGTGTGAAAGAGCATATATTATATATATATATATATATATGTGGCTTCATATTTCTTTGATAGGGCTGCCGAGGTTAGTATTAATTCAAAGTTAATTGTGTGAAAGAGCATATATTATATATATATATATATATATATATATATATATATATGCCAAATTAAATGAGAACTGATTAGTTTGTGATAGCTGTGAGGTCCAATTTCAACCACAAATTAACGGATAAATTAGGAAATTAATAATTATGGTAGTTTGAGTTAAAATTATAATTAGAGGGCATATTAGGTATTTTTTAAAAAACTTATCTCTCCTCTCATCTCTCCGACCTCCAATCTCCGCCCTCCGGTGAAATCGGTATCATAGTATATTACAATGAGTATCACATTGTGTATCTTTGTTTTTAAGGTTGAGTTGGTATCATAGTTGGTATGGTATCACAATGTATCACAATGGGTATCACATTGTGTATCTTTGTGATTATTTGGTACCTGCCGAATTAATGTTTACCGGAGGCCGGAGATTGAAGGTCGGAGAGAGAGAGAGAGAGAGAGAGAGAGAGAGAGAGAGAGAGAGGGGGGGGGGGGGGAGAGTTGGGTTTTGGTAGGAACTCAAAATTTCATAGGGAAACACTATGTTAACTTAAGTGAACCTCTGGCAGCAAAGTGATTATATGGTTCTTACGAAATTTTGAGTTCTTATCAAAACATAAACATCTATATATATATATATATATATATATATATATATATGGTTGGGTTCACGTGAGAACAAGGGTTTTTCGTGAGACCCGTAAGACCAATTTATGTTCATTGATCAACTTTATAAGTTAATGATCTAATGGTCTAAATTGCATTGTGGCAATTTTGTAATTATTGAGGAGTCTCGTGACATTTATGAATGTTTAGATCTGACGATTGTAGATCTAATCCAAGGGTTGAGAATTGGTCTTACGGGTCTCACGAAAAACACTTGGTCTCACATGATCTCAAGTCTATATATATATATATATATATATATATATATATATATTATAAATCATTTAACTGAAAGTTTTAAAAACAATTTATTAGGTATTAGGAATTGCTTAACATTTCATAATTATTGAAACTGTATACATACATTTTTCTTAAAGTTCATTGAATTTTGTAAAATTATTTGATAAAGACATTAAAATACAAGATAATTATTGAGGTTCTATGAATATACTCAATAATTTTTTTATCCAGAAAATAGTACTTCATCACTAAAACTAAAATCATTTATATCTTTATTTTTAAATCTAAAAATATTTAAATTATTGTAGAATTTTGAAATAAACCAATCATACGAAAAAAGAAAATTATAATTTTTTTTAATTTCACACCATTATTGATATATTCTTTTAGATATTTTACTGGTTCTTTAAATTAGGTCTTTAAATTAGGACATGTTTAACCTACTTTATTCATACATAAATTTCAAATTTTATTTTTTAATAAAAATTGCAATAACTTTCCATTATTAGCCTATAATAGAATCTTTGCATCATGTTGTATCACACGCTAACACAAATATGAAGTAACGATTACTATTCATGTTGATTAGAGGGGTGAACATGATATGGTACCATTTTTTTTTCTTCCAAATATCATGTGTCAATTAATTATAATTGATACATAAAATTTTATATCATGTACCAATCAACTATACTTGGTACCAACTAAACTGGTACCAACTTTTTTTGGTTGGTACATGTTGGTACGAGTTTGTACAAACTAAAAGTTGCAGTTATAAATTTGTTTATCTTAACATCTTTACTAACTATATTTAAATTCACTTAAACCATCGAGTATCCAAATAATATGTCGATATGCGTTGTTCCATTTATCACAACATCCATAAGCATTTAAATAATTTTCATATAATACAATCATTAATTAATAATTCAATACACACTGCCATTGAGATGCAACGACATAAGTGGGGGTGTGGACGAGTTACTAAAGTTGTTAAGGTTGCATGGATGAATTCAATCAAGTTCTACCTATCCAACCATATCATAATTTAGCAAAACTAAAAATAAGAACATTTAAAATTTTAAATCAAATTATGATGTATTATACTAGACTTTAATTAAAATAATTAAAAAATAAGTCGGTACGATACGGTATTACCGTGGTATACGACTTCTAGTACCATATGTCAATCAAGTTTAGATAGTTGGTACGATACTACAACCAATTAAGTTGGTAGAGAACTTGGTATGGTTGGTAAAAGAATTGGTTGGTTTGTCATCTACAAAATTAACACCCCTAATATTAATATTGATGTAGGTTGGTCTACTTGATGTGACTAAATCTGTTGCGAAAATTCGGCCATCAGATTTCCAAGCGGCTGCTGAGCGTGTATGCTTAACCAGATACAGGGATGCCAAATCCATATATCCTCGTGTGGAGTCGTCTAACCTACCCTACTTATGCATGGATTTGGTGTACGAGTTCTCATTGCTTGTAGATGGGTTCGGTAAGTTTGAAATCTAATTTAATTTTCTGAGAATATATGGAAACCCATTAACCTTTAGTATATATAAAAGACATTTCAATATATATATAAAATAAATGATACAGTTTCAGCTAATACGAAACTCTAACATATTTAATTTAGAAGTAGAATAGAAATAAAGATTGCATGCTGCGTGATGCAGATTTGGATCCATTGCAAGAGGTTACACTGGTGAAGAAAATAAAATACAATGATGCACTGGTTGAAGCTGCTTGGCCATTAGGCACTGCAATTGAAGCTGTATCAGCAGCCCCCACTTAATTCCCTTGCTAATTGCTTTGGTCAGTAAATGCTCTGAACCTTTAATTTGATCCTAATTTCTTTCTTCCATGTTTATAGCAATTTTTTTATATATTTATATATTATATGTATATCAATGACACCATTTATATATCTTTGTATAAGTAGCTAATTAATTGGCTCAAATAATTTACTCATTCTTTTAATTAATCACTACTTTCATCATTTATCTTTGATTTGAACCCATCAAGGGATTAGGATTTTGACCACTTGGTTGTCGCGCATTGGTTAAGATTCAGGGGATGTAGTAGAAAATCTATTTGTCCTCAGTTTGAATTCAGGCATTACCAAAATATTTGTGGCCACGGAGGTTTACTTACGATGACTCTAGGCCATTCGTGATCGTCCGACGGATTAGTCGGTTGATGTAAGTTGGTCTGGAAACTCACGGTTATAAAAAATCCCAATTTCTCCATTTGGTCATTTCATCAATCATCCTACAATTATTCGTGTTTATAACTTCTTGTTTGGTCTAAAATGGTGCGAGGTCTTGTTAGTGACATTTTTGTCCGAACACTTTAAGGGGTCTTTTACAAACGTTTATTCGGTAAGTGTTTACCTGCAATAGTGTCACCATCACTTACCTTATCATGATAAATTATCACTCATCAAAAAGGATTATTGATAAGCGTTTTTTACCCAACAAGTCTTTACCGGGTAAGATTATAGTTCATTATCATGAAGACACATATACATATACGTATCTAAAGATTGGGACTGAAAATAAAGTTGAACATAAGGATACATTGAATTATTATTAATAATTACATATATTCATGATCAAGGATCCTTCTTGTTATTGTTTATTGTTATATAATATTAAAGCCAAAAATAGAGTAAAGTCAAAGGAGAATCGTTGACCTCCTGGAAAATCTATTTTTAAGTTTAAAAAATAACAGTTACATGAATGTTCAACTCTTTTTGTTTTATCTTCAATTAATTTATTTGATACATAGGGTGTGGAAGAGGGTAGACCACAAAGGACACGGGAACAACAATTGAGATTGGATATGATTTAGGGGCCGTTTATCAAACACTTATCCGATAAATGTTTATCGGTAAAATTTAACACTATTATTTACTTACCGGGTATGATTTTAGTCCACCAAAATGATATTGTATGCAACAATTTACCCGGTAAGCGCTTACCATAATAAGAGTCGTTGTTCTCACTTACCGGGTAAGGCTCTTGGTCCTTGTCTCGTTCTTACCGGGTAAGATTCTTGGTCCTTACCATATTCATCCGGTGAGGTAGTGTGACTTGATAAGAGCTTACCCAGGTAAGCGTTTGGTAAACGGCCTCTTAGACATTTACGAAGGTATAAGCTTATATAAGAGTTTAGAGAGACGTGTGAATAAGGTAGCAGATTTTATGTGACGACTTGGAGTTACTGGGTGCAAGGGAGAGGTTAGAGTGGTAGAGGGCTGAACGGGGGAGCGGGATTGGGAGGTGGTAGAGAGTAGCATTCAAAAACGCAAGCCATGACATGTAAAACGCATTTTTGTCGTTACGTTAAAGCATGTGGTGTTTGTTTAAGACGCGCCACTATGTGCGTTTTTTTAGATGCGTGTCTTTTTCAATTTTTTATTTTCTTTTAGAAATTTAATTTTTTTTAATTTTGTGTTTGTATACATTTAGTTTTAGATTTTAACTTTTACAGAATCAACTAATCACATGATTCACAGTTTCATGGATTCACACATGTTATGGACTCGTGGTTAAAACGAATTTGTAAAATCCTTCTAAATTTTATTTTGAATACTTGATTACAAACTCTTTATATAATAGTATTTATAATATATATACTTTTTCTTCTTTTCTAATATGAATGTAAAAATTTCGTTATCATACGAATAATAAAATGAAAAAATATATATGTGTATATATATATATATATATGTAATTATATATATGACATACATTTACCTAGGGATGAGAGTAGAAGAACGTCTTCCCTAGACCGAACCGAAACCGAATGCATGTAATCGGTTCTGTTTTCAGTCCCAAAAAAACTTCAAAATCGGTATTCGATACTAAGAATTTCCGGAAAATAGCGGAACCGAACTGGGTAAAGCCAATAGTCATATTTCCTATTTCAATTCCATTTCTATCTCCTAAACTAATCTATCTCTATTTCTTAAACTAATCCATATCTTCTCGTAAAATAATCTATACCTTCCTCCATAACCTATCCTCATTGTGGCGTATAAGACTTAAGGTTTAAGATCGTCATTCTGCCATGTCACGCCTCATATCATTTTGAACTTGGGTAGAGATGAAACAACTAGATATCATAACCTATGTCAAGTGGTGAGGACTCTTCACGGGAGGGGGTAAGCATGGAGTAGCTTTTGGGCGAGTTTATCCAAGATGGTACTGAATCTCCGTTATTTTATTGTCATATGTCAATTAGTTATATATGACTTCATCCTATACTTTTATCATCTCCGTTTACTTTTCTCATGTTTCCAAACTTCATTTATTACGTTTTTTGACATTCTCCAGGGTCGTTATGATTTCAATATTTTTCTTAAAACCTTTATCTATCGAAAAGAAAATTTATTCTTTTCATAAATCCGAGTTTTCATAGAAATTACCTCTCCATCTATCGAGAGCAAAAATGCCCACAACACAAAATAATCCTATAGGCATTTTAGTTTTTGATTGAATATCAAATTACTTATATACCCCTATGCACCTTGCCCTCTCAAATTTCATCTTGCGTATCTTCATCACTAAAACCAAAAACAAATATCAAATCTAATTAATAAAAAGCATAATTGACTTGAAAAAATAAAGAGATAATTATAATAATAATAATAATAAAAAACGTGTTTATGAATAAATGAATGAAACTCGGTTGTCAAACCCTAATTGGATCAGTTAACCAAATTAATCAAACACAAGTGGGCGTAATTTTAGTTAATCATATCAAATCCAAACGGTTTTTGTTATCCACCACAAAATTAATTGACTTTGGATTTTATTTAACATTATCAATCAATAAACTAATAAATCAACTGTACACCAAAATCATTTTTAAAACTAGAAGGGTACTCGTGCAATGCAGCGAGATAAATCTCGATTTTAGTGTTTAGTTTTTATTCTTTGTCTCTATCGATATAATATGATTTTATATGGTTTTGAGAAAGCGATAATGTTTTTTATTTTTTTAATGAAATATAAATTTGAACATAGCATAAACTTTTGAAAAAATTAATTTTATATTAGTATCAAATTAACTATCTAATAGTTATCGTTTTTTTGGCGTAACTTCTTTAATTCAATTTTTATTATAATTTAGATTTAGATTTAGATTTATTAACAAAGTAATTTATTTTTGGTTTAACAATATAATTTTTTATAAAGATAATAATTAAACATCCTGTTAAAACTTAATGATTATCTTAATTATATTTTAGATTTTCTATATTTAAAATTGATGTTTATCCTATATTTGATTATGTTTATCTGCAGTTAGTTACACGAATTTAAAAATTGAGCTTTAATAAGTTATACTTATGCAAAGTTACTTGTAATAAGTAATATGCATCAATAAACAGTATTTCATGCATAAAAAATAGTTTTTAAGAGTTTTTGTCAAATGTTTTATAATATAATATAGATAATCATCGAAGAAGTCGTTTACTTTTACAAATCCTGAACCAATTTTTTAACCCCACTTTTTTCAAATCGTACAAATAAATTCTTGCTTTTGGATATAAGAATTCAAGAACGATGGAGTTCAAAGTTTAAGTCTTAAGGTACACATTTTTTTAAAAAAATTACAAGTTTTAAATTGATCATGATTTTTAATTTCAGATTTATTTTTTTAAGAATAAAAAATGACAAAAGACGAGGTACATGTTGAAAACTATTTTGGTAGCAAGTAGAAAACGGTTTACTCACAGGCTCACAACAACCACAATTCCGTAGCAAGTAAGCAACCACAGCCCCGTAGGCCGTAGCAAGCAGAAAAGGATTCGGGAACTCGAGAAGCAGAATTGGGAGTACGAATTAGAGACAAGAGTGAGAGCAGTCCGGTCGGCACCAAGCAAACAACCAAGTCCGGTTGGCATTCGGCAGTCACGATTTGCATATTTGGGGACGCTAGACGAGTAGACGATAGGAGAATGTGAAGTCGAGAACTGAATCAGTGAATTGAATTGGAGTATTGGTCCTATTGGATTTGACCAAGATAATAATTGGATTAAGTTTGGGCTAAAAATTGGACAAGTGATACATGTATTTAATTTTTGGGTTGTACATTAGACTAGAATATATATATATATATATATATGTGTGTGTGTGTGTGTGTGTAGGGTTGGGTTCACGTGAAACCAAAGGTTTTTCGTGAGACCCGTAAGACCAATTTATGTTCATTGATCAACTTTATAATCTAATGATCTAATGGTCTAAAGTTGCAAGATGGCAATTTTGTAATTATTGAGAAGTCTCGTGGCGTTTATGAATGTTTAGATCTGACGATTGTAAATCTAATCCAATGGATGAGAATTGGTCTTACGGGTCTCACGAAAAATCACTGGTCTCATATGATCCCAAGTCTCTCTCTCTCTCTCTCTCTCTCTCTCTCTCT